TTTGAGCTGCAAATGGGCTTTTATGATGGTATGAGCTGCAGTTTATTATTAAAAATACACAAAAGAAAAAGTTGGCTATATATATATATATATATAAAGAAAAAGGTAAGCAGAGAGATAAAGAAGGGTTAAGGATAGAAGGATTAAAAGAAAAGAGGAAGGAATATGTCACAATGACTAAGAAAAGTGCTTCCTTTGTGATGAAGAATTAAATTAGAATATATTTTTTGCCTTTCAATACTGGAAAGTATCAATAGAAGAAGCCAGTTGCCAATTTTCCATTTATTCTTTAACAAAACTCATTAATACTGCTATTTACCATGTTTTTTTTTTATTTTCTCTTTTGTACCCGTTACGGAATAATTCCGTTGGTATTCGTTACCGTTAGATGCATTTCTATATTAGTTATCATGTGCATGTATCTGACGGTTACGAATCTCAACGGAATGGTTCTGTGTAACGGGATTATAACATTTTCCTTTTTTTATGTATTAAAGACAGAGACAAAGTGGTTAGCCACATGCATATTCATGCATAATTCAAAAGAAGAAAATGTATCTTTTTCTCCCTTTCTTTTTCGGCCATGTGTTTACCAAAAATAATAATAAGAGAGAAAATCAATTTACTTTTAGGTTTCAGCTGCAAAAATTACATGGTGTGTTTGCAAAATGATGGCATTTTGGCTTTCCTGCTCACGACTTTTAGTTCATTGATCAGAATGGAAAAGAATGTGGAGGGACTGGATAATGGTTCCGTAACCAGACCATAATATTTTTTCAACTTATTGAGAGATGTTACGGTCCCGTTACGAAACCCTTCCGTTAGGATTTATAACCCGACGATTATATGCTTACAACATATGTCAACACATCAATTCATGATAAGTTGATAAACTCAAAAGGGATCATTCAATGATTCTACAGAATTTCTACTCATATTACACAGTCCATAGAGAAAAAGCTAACATATTCAAACCAAATACATATGCCGACAACCTGGTAGCCCTCTTATAAAGCACTATTTATCCTAGTCACGGTTTATGATATACTTAGGTGGATTCTATAAACCTTTTTTTTTTTGGTGCAAAGAAGATATTGGATTCTATAAACCTTTACTAAATTGCATGTAACTTAAAAGCAATTTGCACACAGCCTTAACTTGCCTTTTTTTTATTTTCCCATTTCTTTAGGACTCCACCGCCTTTAAGCCCATCTTGCTTCATATTTACACGAATATAGGGACGGATCTAGAAATTAAGAATAGACTGAATTAGAATTTTAAATACTCGTTTTTATAAAACTTACATAATATGTTTTCATCAAATCTTCTTGTGATCAACCATTCAAAAATACGAACAAAAAAATTATCTACGAAAACTAAAAGTGCAAGATCCATAAAAGAAAATCCTCTATAAAACCATTACAAACAAAATTACAAGAAATGGGAAATCCTTCAAATTTCTATTTTCGTCTCCAAAAAATCCTCCAAGCACTCAATCATAGATCTTACACACTAATCAAATCACATTACACCATTTTTTCTCCCTTTACAAGCAAGTGTCAGATGAACTTAAAAAGGCATAATAATCTAAGAAGGCATAAAAAGAAAAGGGGAAAGAAGAAAAAAATAAGAATCTAAAATAAGATTACTACTGGGCTAATATAATGTAACGTAGGCTAAAATATTTTTTTTATCAATATTAATATAATATCGCTGGAAAATTAAGACCGGGCTGGAAAAAAAAAAAAATGTGGAAATTTAAAGAGAGCTAGGCCATGTGAATGTGATATGATCTATCTAATTATCCTTTTAATTCTTTCTAATCAAATTAAAGTTACTTGTGCGGCTCTTTATTGCCTCAGCATAGCTCAAAGTGGCATAGAGACAGTCAGAGATAATGCAGATATGTATCACAGGTCATCACGTGTATAACTCAGTGGAAGAAGGTATTGAAAAGGGTGATTACCTTGCATGATCTTGCAAGTTTTAGCTCGTTAATATCTGTTTCCCCGCAAAAGTTCGGCAAACTTAATTTTTATTTCAATTTGTACCAAGAATCCAAGATGCCACAAATTTTTAATTTAGTCTAATTTATCTAAAAATAGAAAAAATATATTGTAACAAGGTATGGGTAAGAGAAGATAGAGATAGAAAAGTATTTTATGTGAGTATTGATAATATTTAAATATGTTATATTTTCATCCTCTTTAGTGAAAAAGATCCAAAATAAAGTAGTTGTTATTGTTGTTAACCATAACCTTTTCGAAAATTGCAATTTTATGCACCACTTTTAAACTTGGCGAAAATATGCACCACTTTCATTAGTGTTTGCAAATTTATAATCAGGGCCCAATTTTGGGCCTTTTTGATTCAATGTGGCATTATTTTTTCAGATCCGCCCAAATTATCTCTCATTCATGCCAAAAAACCGAAAAGCTGCAGAAAAATTCCTCAAATCCTGCACTTCGACTCTCGTGACTATCTCCCCCACTCCCGCCCCACCATGGCCAACTTTATCACTCGGGTAATCTTGCGCTGACCACAAATATGTTCCATCTCCACTGTAACAGGGACGATTTCGACGTTGTAAGCTACAACATCGACACGTGGGTGTCCGCCGTCACTCGGCTTGGTGTCCTCAATCTTGACCTTCACCTCCACCATAACTTCTTGCTTCCCCACTCGCTCTTCACCT